TCAGATATGTACCCTGACAAGCAAAACAGCTTCTGGCCTAACTTTACTGGACAATGTATGATTTATACACAAATTTAACAAGGACTACTGAAGGACCCACATCACCCGTGCCTAACTACCTTATCCTATTAGAAATAAAAGAAAAATCAGAATATAACAGGATATAAATTTTTTATATGCTTTTTTTAGATGGAAAGAAAGGAAACCTTTATATGATTAGCCTCCTCAGATGTTATTGTACTACCAATAAAGAGCTGGATCTTTCCAACACATTCTTGATCATCGTGATGTATAGGCCACCAACGTATTCTTTCATTCTGCATATCAGGGAAACAGCATCTGATTATGAGTTAATGTAGAAAGATGGTAAGTCCATAAAAGAGAGAGAAAGATTTCAATCTGATTCTAGAAGATAGAAGAGTAGTACATACTGGATTATCAGTCAAAGATAAAACTGGAATGGATGCTCGACCTTGAATTGATTTCTTCTTATCCTGGACCTCCACCAGCAACGCATCCCTTTCAGTTTCTGGAAAACTAAAATAGAATGTGTCTGAGTAAGATCTTCTGCAGTGGTGGTTTGCACCGTAGCTAATTGTTACTTCCAGTCTAAAATGCTGAAACCACAGACTTCAAGACAAGATATTATATTTGATCCTTGATTGCATACATAAACAAACTTCACATTTAATAGGATAATATCTCTCAGGTTTTATCTATCAGCCTAACTAACTAAGCTTCGCCAATGGTTCTCATTATAATACCACCATACTACAGAAATGTAACTTACAAGACGTGGTAATCGCCAGTTCCAGGAAGCAAGCAAACTGCAGAACCCTGTTCAACTTGCGCATCTTCTATAGCACTTTTCAGTTGGAATAAGCATGACATTTTCTCTGCAAAAATGAAAAGATTATTTTGTTAGCCATAAAAGTCAGTACCAACAAAATCCCAAAAGAAGTATGCAGTCCATGCAAGTAATAAACTGGGAATGATCAACCCATGCATGCTTTCAGGGATATACAAGATTGTCATCATAATCTTTCATATCATATGGAGTTGAAGATTTTAGTAAGAAAGCTACACAGATGGACTATTGCTAAGTTGTTATACAATTTTAATGATCATAGCTTTTTATTACCATCTCCAAAACAAAAGCAGGGCAATATTGTGGTTGAACTTTTAAACCTATTTGTAGATAATAAGACAAACCTTCTGAATCTACTGTCGTCACAGACGAGGAGGCTAGTTTAAGGGAATTCATCCCAGTTTTCACTAGTGAAGAAACATGTCGAACATATTCTGCCCACTCTTGTATGTCCATTGCACCTCGTAATGAATGAGTGCTCCTAAGTTTCCGCTTGGGTATTATTCGAAGTTTCCTCACTGAAATAATCCAATAGTAATTGAAATCGTGAGTGAACTATATGACATTTTAATCCCTTCTCCTTATTAACTTCTGAACCAAATCTAAATACATGTATACTAAATCTAAGTACATGCAAACGTATATATCAAAACCAATTTTCAAGCAGGAAACTTAATTATAAAGAGAAATAATTACAACAGATGTCCATAACTGTATAAATGATTGATATGTGAGATAACCACTATCGCACAAGAATGTCTTACCTTCCACTCTTATTTTTCCAACTACCTTCTTTGCTTTCACTGCGCACATTTGTTCTGAATGCTTACCAGTCCTCAATTCTGTCATTTGCACGCCTCGAGGTTGCAACAAAAATTTGTGTAGTCTATATAACCATAGAATATGAGAGACCACCGTTTAGACTTAAACTAGCCATACAAGTTCAATGAATTTCATAACTAGGTAAGCATCAGACAACCAACCCAAAGGCACTTCGCAGAAGAAGGCATTCATCACGCAGAAACTCAGGTGCCTCAGTGCAGCCTCTCGCCCACGCAAACAGACAAAGCCGAATGCATGCATCATAAGTTATAAGAGTTTGCCAGGCATACTGACCACTGTCATAGCAAAATTGGAAGGCAATATTAATGAAAAAGATACGTGAAACTCTGGAATGCTAATGTTGACAGAAGAAGCATATCAAGAAATTTTCTTCATAAAAATACATTTAGCGTCTACCAGTTAAAGCCGGTTAAATTAGTACTGAGAAGCAAAAGTACATTTAGCGTCTAACAGTTAAAGCCAGTTAAATTAGTACTGAGAAGTAAAAGTACATTCAGGGTCTACCAGTTTAAGCCGATTAAATTAGCACTGAGAAGCAATGAGCACTGGTAGACATCAAAATTTCACTTGTGGCAACCGTATCATACGCTAGTAAAATAAAATCAGAATATAAAGTCAGTCAACCAGTGCAAATTGAATTTCAGATGCATAATACACCTTGTATTGTAGCAAGGTGAATGATCCAGGCTGCTTTGCCAATAAGGGATTTGCACTTCTCCTCCAATTGTGGTATTTTTTGTACTGCAAAAGGCCAATTCAATAAACTTAAATGCCTGGTATTAATGGCAATTAAAAAAAAAAGGTGCTAACTGTGCACTGTACTGAACACGGAAGAAAAAATAGCTAACAGTCACCTCTCGC